AATTCAGTAGTAAACAGGGTTCTTATTTACTGCTTGTTGCTTTCTAGAGCAGTACTGCTTTCAGTATGTGGAAGAGTATGTGTACTGCTTTCTGCTCTTTTCTGTTTGTCGGATTTAGTGGCCTGAACGTCACATGTTCAAATCATACTCCTCTGAAATTCTTTTCAACTTTAACATGGTTAATTCCCTTATGCACAGGAATATGTATGTATTCAATATTTTAAAGTATACTGCAGTTCAAAAGTTTTAGATCAGTAAGATTTTTTATTTTTAAAAATGTTTTTAAGTCTCTTCAGCTCACCAAGGCTGCATTTATTTGATCAAAAATACTGTGAAATATTTTTAAAATTAAAAAATAACTTTTCTATTTGAATATATTTTAAAATGTAATTGATTGCTGTGATCAAAGCTGAATTTTCATGATGTCACATGATCTTCAGAAATCATTCTAATATGCTGATTTGCTGCTCAAGAAACATTTCTGATTATTATCAATGTTGAAAACAGTCAGGATTTTTTGATGAATAGAAAGTTCAAAAGAACAGCATGTAGCTGAAATACAAAGCTTTTGTAACATTATAAATGTCTTTACTGTCAATTTTGATCAATTTAATGCATCACTGCTGAATAAAAGTATTCATTTCTGATCAAATATGGTACTGTTTGACGTGTTTGTATATAAATATATTTGAAGATAGATGTACCATATATTCACATTTATATGGCAACATGTTTGTGCAATATATGTAATTATGAGGAGTATATATTGTGATATATATCCATGCATTTATATATGGTACATAAAGCACTCAGTCGATGAAGTTATAAATGTCAAATCTCAATTTCCACCCACCATGTCGCCTTGACTTTATCAAGACAACCAATTGTCCATAAATCTACAGTTTATAATATTTGCGTAAACACTTTTTTTTCTTGTATACCATCACACATATTTTTATAAATGAAATATGCAACTATGCAAACAATAAAGTGAGATCATATGTGTTCAGCTTTATGTAAAAGTGTTAATTCTTGAAAAAGAAATTAATCGAGTGTTTCAATAAAGCTCATGTAATTGTGTTGTGCATGTATTGTAATGGTTTATTGACAAACATAAGCACTAGTTTCCCCATATGGTTATGTCTTATTTAATATTTTCCAGTATATTCCCATATATTTCTGTTTCATAAGGATTGTCACTGCAGACAGCTGTGTGTGTGTGTGTGCGTGTGTGCGTGTGTGCGTGTGTACTAGTTTATATATCCTGGTGGGGATTTAAACCTGAATACACACAGACTCATGGGGACTCGTGTCACGGTGGGGACCTAAATTGTGGTCCCCACGGGTACAAAAGCTTATAAATCATACAGAATGAAGTTTTTTGAAAATCTAAAAATGCAGAAAGTTTCCTGTGAGGGGTAGGTTTAGGGGTAGGAAATGCACAAAGTTTCCTGTGAGGGGTAGGTTTAGGGTTAGGGTTGGTGTAGAGCAATAGAAAATACGGTCTGTACAGTAGAAAAACCATTATATATGTATATATGTATATATGTGTATATATATATATATATGTGTGTGTATGTATATATGTGTATATGTGTATGTATATATGTGTATATATATGTGTGTATATATATGTGTATATATATATATTATGAAGTGCCAAACAGGAAATAATTATGTAAAATGTGAATATATAAATGTACATCTGAATATATAAACTTAAAATGTGAATATACAGTTATAACCACGAATATATTGCAGCTATATTTACTTGCAGCTATATCATTTATTATATTATATGATTCGCCTCGCCTTTTTTATTATAATATATTCAGTTTTTCACCTATTTTTTTAAATTATTATTTTTTTAACTGTTGCACCTGCTATAACTCTTTTCACTTCATGTGATCCCCCTTCGAGTCCAGCAGATGGCGGTACGAAGCCTCTTTCTGCTGGTAACCGCAATGTCTCTGTCACAGCAGAGGAAGATTTCAATAGGGTGGAGGGTGGGAAGAGGAGGCGGTTTGGCAACAGCTGATCTGTGACTGGAGAGTGCATGGTAGGAAGTGGCGTAGATTCCGGAAGTGATCCGGAAATGGAGGATGAAGTGTTTGACGCGGACGAAGGCGGGAATGGAAATAATGAATGGAGTATAGTAGAAAATCGAAAAAGAAAGAAAAGCTGGAGTAACGCATCTGCAACTGACAGTGAAAATGAAACGCATTAGTACACCCCCAAAACAAAATCAAGACTTTGTAAAAGAGCATAATAGCACCCCTTAGGCATGTCATTGTATCTTTAAAAAAAAAAAAAAAAAAAGCACCCTGGAGCGAAAAAAAACAAAACGTGTTTTATGTTTTTTCGTCTTAAACATAGAAAACGTTCATCTTAGTACTACGAAGAGCTTCCATGTCTGAGTACACTTAGCTTTGGTCATTGATGGGATCAGCTTGTCATCTTCAGAGGATAAGAGTAGCTAATTAGTAGATTTGAAAGGCTTGATGCGATCAACTGCAATCAACACTGTTAGTTTAAGTGTGACGCATGCTTACCCTGGATGCACTGCTCAGTGTGATAGACCTGCATCTCCAAATGCAATGTGGACTTCACAAAATGCAGTGCATTGTAACCATTTAGGTTATTTTAATGTCATTTTAAAGTAATTTTACAGTCAATTCACTGTTGGAGCAGGTTACAAAATTTTTACAAGAGTTAGATTTGGTTCTTGAATCTGATTGGTCGAGCACTCTTCATGTTGCTTTCCAGACCAGCTGTCAGTCTATGTAGTAATAGTAGGGAGATTTTCACTGACTCTTTCTTACATCATTACACCAGTAGGAGGGAGAAATTACTGTGTTTATTGGGCAGTCATTGAATTGTTTACTAGGCTTGCCGCGATAGACGGTGCTGACGGTGATACCGTTGTTAATCCGCAACACCGGTTACGTCACTTGCCCACCGACCCCCACCGTCGTTTAGATTTTTTTTTTATAGTTAAAAAAAATAATTTAGTTCCGTAAAAGAACAGACACTACAATTAAAAACTGAACGCGGCTGCTCAATGCAGCGTGCCGAACGACAGTCGCATCACAGATCAGATTTCATTTCTCCAGTGAGGAGAGTGAGTCCAGCTGACTGAAGAAGAGTGAGGTTATATATTATAGGCTACATGTTTACTTATTTCCAGTTTTGTATGCCTATTTAAACTTTATGTAAGTTATTTGTTATTTTATATTAGGCATAGCCTGCCCTATAGCATGGTGTATTTGTATTTGTTTTGTTAATAAAAGTTCTATGTTTTATATAGGCCTATAGGCTAAAGTGAGTTTGACATTGTGTTGTTGCATTCAAGCAATTGACGCGAACTGCCGCTAATACGAAAGTGAAAGTAAAATGCGCACGGCGCTTTTAAGCTATTTAAAAGCGAAGGAAAATTCAAACGAACAATTGCTTTATGCCGAATTGCCGCTATTTGATAGTGAAAGTAAAATGCGCATGCCGCTTTTACAAGCTATTTAAAAGCGAAGGAAAGGAAGGAACGCCCCCGCCCCCGCAGTGATACCGGTATTACCGGTGTTGTCACACGTCGGTTAACCGGTGGGAAAATTTCCTCACCGTCACAACCCTATTGTTTACTCAACCATTTTGTGCAAAAAATCTTAGCCTATTCATTTAGTTGAAAAAACACCACCTGTGTGTTACTCTGAGATGCGCAGTGTTTCTGTTGTGGCTTTGTTTGCAGCTATTTTCATTGGTGGGGGCAAAACAAAGTAACTGGCAATATTGTGCCTAAAATGCAACTTAATTTTAAATTCGTGTTTTTTTTAACTGTTGTATAAAAGCAATAAACTATTCCTTTAATGAAGCAGTGATGTGTGGATGAATACGTTCAACAGAAAAACAGGTGAAATAACTATAATTTATATAAAACATAAAGTCCTCATAAGAAAACTGCCTTTGCACATCCTGGATACAGAATGATACATTTTCAATCACCTTTTATTTTTTTAAATCCATGAATCAAGAAAAATGTATTGTAGAAGCAACACTAAGTCAAGACATACATTACTTTAAGACATACATTATTCAGAGAATGTATGTCTAATACAAGTGTTTTTGTCTTGCTAAACTAGCAGATTTTTCATTAGTTTTAAGAGTAAGTAAAAAAGTGGAAAAAAAATACCAGTGCATTAAGAAAACATACACTGATATTTAGGATACAGTTTATGGAAAAATAATTGATTCTCAGGTAAATTTGTAAATGTTGATTTAAGTTGGATTTTTAGATATATGCATGTTGCTTCACATTCATTGTTAGTTTTTATAAATTATGCACTTCATTCAATAGAGTCATTACTGTTCAGTTTGTTGTTAAATTCCCAATTACCTCTGTTTATCCTTCATAACATTAATAGGTTGTTGGACCATCTTGGCACATCCCTTATCTTGTCAAAAAAGTCAATTTTTCTATACAACAACAACATAAAAAATAAACCTTAACACTTCTGTAAATTCATCTTAAATTCTGAACTGTTCTAGTCTTGTACTCATAAGCGGTTATACTTTATAAAATGGTTTATTCCAAGCCATCACATACTTGCGAAGCAAGAACATACCATAAAAGGATGTGACCGTGAGAAGGATCCTCCTGCAGACATCTGTCGTTGTAAAAAACCTTCAAACCAGTTAGAGCGACACAAACTAGCTGTTAGAAATTAAACGCACGTATGGTACAGTGCCCAAAACCATTTTTGTACACATTGCTCTTGAATGTTTTGCTAAGTTCTTATAAACTATGATGAATATCCTCAGATTGGCTCTAGTCGTCGTCGTCACTGTCTTATTCAGTATAAACAATACACTTTTGAGTCTCTCAGCGTTTGCTTTGTCTAGTTTTTATAGCCCTGTACTCTTGTCATGTCTAATCCATGTCTTGCACCGTCTAACTGATGTGATTGTTTGACAGAAGTCTTTCTTTTATCTCTCTCTCTCTCTCTTTGTCTTTCTCTCTGATTCTTCATCATCCCATCCATGTGGGTGAATGTTCCTGAAAATCCTGTAGAGACTTTTGGTACGATCACAATTACATTAAGTTACCTCAGTGACGAAAAAACATTTGCTTAAAGGGGTCATATGATGCGATTTCAAGTTTTCCTTTCTCTTTGGAGTGTTACAAGCTGATTGTGCATAGATAAGATCCCTGAAGTTGCAAAGACTAAAGTCTCAAAACCAAAGAGATATTCTTTATCAAAGTTAAGACTCTGCCACGCCCCCCTAAAACGGCTCGTTCTAACACGCCCCACATATCTACATCACTATGTGGAAATATTTGCATAATGCGGCCCAAATGTGAACGCAAAGAAAGCGTCTTCATTTTTCCGTCACTGAGGTCAACTGAAGTCTGCTGTGTTGTTTGTTTTATGTGGGATTGTCTTAACTTATACTTTTGGTGTCCTGCTCCTGTGTTAATAAATAATAAAATGTATGCATGCTTCACAAAAACACCTTTTCACCACTGATGTCCATGACAAGCCTTGTGAGAGTGCCTGATTTTGATGTCTAGAAAGTACTAGAACTAGAAAAATATTCCCTTTGTTTATTTGTCAACTTGAATATCTTTTAATGTCAATTATTTAGTTGAGTTGAGGTCCAGCTATAAATGAGGGAGCGTTTGATTGACTGTACTTTGATTTTTGTTTTTCTTCCTTACAGTGAAAGAATTTCTAGCCAAAGCCAAAGAAGATTTCTTGAGAAAATGGGAATCACCACCACAGGTGAGTTTTTTTTATTTTATTTTATTTTATTTATTTTTTATTCTTCCTCATTATTAGTGATGAAGCACTGCATAATTCACAGTCAGCAACTAAAGCAACATGATTGCATTCATTTTCAATAATAGCTGGAGACTTCCGGCAAATATGATCCTGTCAGATACTGTAGTGAGTGTTGCCAAAACGGTGAAAGTGTTTCCCCTGCCATTATTTTAGGGGGGCGGCCCGCCCCCCCAGCGACAACCAACCCCCGCCCCCTTGAAGGTCAAGTAAATTTTATTTAATATTTTCTCTATAGGACCAGATCACAACAGAAGTCATTTAAAGTTACCTTTCCTATAGAACAGTACTGAAACGCTCGTGACGCTTCCTGTGATATTAACCTCTGCCGTCTCACTAATGAGGACATAAATACATGAACAACATCTCCAGAACTGCTCTGAGAGTCACTTCATGAGCATTTGACCGTTTCATTTGAGTAAAACTATCATCATGTCATACACACACAGAAATGTCCCGGCATGTAGAAAGGTGTATTTCTACATGCCGAGAAATTCGGCATGTAGAATTTCTTCTCCCAAAAAAGAAGAAAACCTAGGGGAAACACTGAATATGGATGAGATTGTGGCTGGCATACCCTGTCAAATGCGGCTTTACGGAGCTCAACGGCTCTGAACGGCTCTAGCCCAAGCTGTGATATAAACGAACGCTATTGGCTATTTTAAAAAGGGGTGGGGCTGCTTGATATGTCCCGCCCTGTCTTCCTGTTTCAGTTAAAATGATGTCAACACATAGAGTAACGCTGCGTGTTTCTAAGCATTTCAGGGGACATTTAAAGGTGTTTGACCGATTCAAGGAGAAATGCTTATTTTTCTATTTTTTCAGTTGTGTAGTCAAACTGTCTCTCTCTCTCTCACTCACTCACTCACTCACTCTCACACACACACACACACACACGCTGAATACAGTGTACATACTTGCAATATACACTTTATGTCATTGCCCTGTTGTTTAGAACTTTGCACAGTATAACACCGTATTGCCAAACCCTATGTATTACTATTGTTGAGGTATCTAGTCAACAAAAGTTATCACTTTTATTTCTGTAGCACTTTTTAGGATACAGATTTCAAAGCAGCTTCACAGTAGTAAACAGGAAAACAGCAGAATCAATTATGGAGACTCAGTTATTGAGACAATTCAAAATCTTCTGTAGGCAGCTCTAAAAAGGAAATAGTGACATTATTCAGCTCAAGTCGATTCAGTGTTGGTTCTAGTGCCAGAAGTGTAGCTCCAAATTTAGTTCAGTATTCTTTCTGTGCAATACACTACACTATGTGCATTGCTTTGTGACAGTGATAGCAATAAAAACTTGGTCAGGGTTGCTGCAGGATTTTTAAAGTCCCCATGAAATCAAAATTTAAGTTTTTTGGGTGTTAGTATCAATATGTTAGTCTTAAGGTTATCTATAAGGCAGTGTGCTCCAAAACAGTGATAAAATTCGCATTTAGAAGATATAAGCATTCAAAGCTTGCAGTTCGTCACTTCCGCCACGTCAAATCATACTTATGCTTCTCATCAAACTTTCTGTCCAATCAAATGCTCTCTAGAATCCGAAGCGCCCGCCCCCTACACTATAAAATAGTGAAGCCGCTGCTGAAATCGGTCACTTGTCCACAGAATTAGTATTTTCTGTACAGTGAATGGCACGTAGTGCACTATATAGGGGACAGGGAACGATTCAGACAGTGTAACTATGCTTTCCATTGAGGAAAAAAAGAAGTCTGGTTTCGTGCTGTGTCATGCTAACCACCGCACCGCACACACACTCTGCTCCGGTCCAGAGACACGATAGCACGGAGCGGATCACATGCGCGAGTCGGCGCAGACCACAAAATGTATCGGAGCTATTTGAATTCTACACAGAATGCTATATTTTTTAGCAATATGGATGAGATTGTGGCTGGCATACCCTGTCAAATGCGGCTTTACGGAGCTCAACGGCTCTGAACGGCTCTAGCCCAAGCTGTGATATAAACGAACGCTATTGGCTATTTTAAAAAGGGGTGGGGCTGCTTGATATGTCCCGCCCTGTCTTCCTGTTTCAGTTAAAACGACGTCAACACATAGAGTAACGCTGCATGTTTCTAAGCATTTCAGGGGACCTTTAAAGGAATAGCTCACCCAAAAAATGAAAATGTACTCATCCACAGGTCATTCAAGATGTAGATGAGTTTGTTTCTTCATCAGAACAGAGAATTTGGAGAAATGTAGCATTGCATCAGTGTCTCCGCAATGGATGCTCTGCAGTGAATGGGTGCCGTCAGAATGAGAGTCCAAACAGCTGATAAAAACATCACAATAATCCACACCACTCCAGTCCATCAGTTAACATCTGGAGAAGACAAAAGCTGTGTGTTTGTAAGAAACAAATCCATCTTTAAGAGGTTTTTAACTAAAATAAAGTTCATAATCCATAATAACGCTTCTTCCGGTGAAAAAGGCAATCTCATGTTGTCTCTCACATCAGAATCCACCCACATATTTGTTTAGAGCTGTTTTCAGACCAGAACACTTTTTCACCGGAAGAAGCATTATTATTGATTATGAACTTGTATTTTGGGCAGAAGCAATGGTTTAAAGTTAAAATGCCTTAATGATGGATTTGTTTCTTACAAACACGCAACTTTTGGCTTCAAATTGACTGGAGTCATGATGAGCAAGCGAATTCTCCAAAATCTGTTCCCATGAAGAAACATCTTCATTTTGATGAACCGATATTGTTTCTTAAATTCCGTAATCAATTTTTTTGCCTATGCTGTTTTCTGTTGATGCGTGAACAGTTATTGCAATAAGCTTTGTGCTGTTACTTTTTATATGAAACAAAGTCTCAGCTTTCAAATTCTGCCAGTATCATCACAAAATTCAAACAAAAAATCTCTTTAATTTCGTCCTCTTTACTACTAGTTATAGCATGCGGTTAAACACGAATAAACATCAGGTGGTGTTGAAAGAAACAGTACAACTTACTGAAATGTACCATGTCTCATATAAATATTTAAGACATCTCTCTCTCTCTCTCTCTATATATATATATATATATATATATGCATGCTATATATTACATATTCATAATTTTATTGCTTAACCTGTTAGTGATGTTTCATTTATTGTATGTTTGAATAAATTTGTCATGAATGTTTTTATGACGGCCAACACTTAAATGTTTATATTTCAGCAACAAATTGGAGTGGAAATATAATTATTCATTAAATATTTGATGTAAAAACTGCCTTATGTGCTATTTAAATGTTTTTTTTCCCAAATGGACAGTTTTTGGAGTGTTTGTTTTGTCCCATAGAGCACAACTGGTTTAGATGACTTTGACAGACTGAAGACGTTGGGCACGGGCTCTTTTGGGAGAGTCATGCTGGTTAAACACAAGGCTACAGATCAGTTCTATGCCATGAAAGTTCTGGACAAACAAAAGGTGGGTTGTATTATGCAGGTAACCAAAATTACCATGTGTTTATGATTTTTAATTTTTTTGTCAGTATTTCACACCATGAAAATGTAGTTTATTTTAGGCAAAAGCATCAATGATGCTTTCAAAGTCAAATGATTTGTGTCAAAATGTAATAATAATAATAAAAGCAAAATATAGATGTGTAAATAAAAAGATAAATGAGAAACCGTGTTATTGAGTAGTCGAGTAGCAATTCCAACAGGAAGTAGGAGTGTGGTTTATTATTCTAGACTTCAGTTCATCTAAAATCCATCTCTGCTGACCACTAGTTTTGTGTGTCTCTGTTTTAATTCTGACTTTATTTCTCACAGGACAACTCTAATTTGTATATGGTGATGGAGTATGTACCAGGAGGGGAGATGTTCTCACATCTTAGAAGAATCGGAAGGTTTAGGTGAGTGAAGACTTTTAATCACATGATACGTTTACTGCTGGATCAGTTTGCATGAACCTCCAGCACAGGTTTATGCAAAGGATGCTTGTGTCTGATCAAATTATTTTCTTATTAAGAATTGTTTTCTTATTTTCCAAGCATTTCTTTTCAAGCTTTAATGTCAAGGGTTGCTTGTTTAAAATAAATTACTTTTTTCCTCGCACTCGGTCCTTATGCATCGAAAGTGTTACTTGGTTACTAGTAGGGTTGCACACTTAATCGAATTTCTAGTGATTACAATTACGGATGCCACAATTACGTAATCATTCAAAGTCCACTTATATTCTGCGTGCTGAAGATGTGTGTGTTTTTTATTTCTAGAGGTTATCTTAAGGCGTTTTTCCATTGTTTTAATTTTAGTTTTAGTATAACATTATAATACCATGCATATTTGGACTTTTTTTTTTATTTAAAGAAGAAACCAAACCAATGCATAGTTGACATTTGAGGCTTATGCTATAGAAAATGAATTAAAACAAATTTTCAGCTTATTTATTTTCATATAAAAATATGGCATGCAGTGGCTTCAAACAATGGTATAAAGCTATTCAAAACATCATTCAATGTAAAAGTGATCATCATAATTAATAATCACAATTACACTTTCAAGGGAATAATTGACAATTATGATTTTTGTCATAATTGTGCAGCCCTAGTTGCTAGTATGTAACCCAACTAGTATATGGAGTTAAATGATTATGTCAGGTCTTAGTTATGTTTAATGTGCTTGAGAACATTTTTTTGATATATTCTTCTCTGTAAATGTTAGTAGTTCACAACAATGTATCCTTTTTGCAAAATGGCTCATACTGACAGCACAGAAGTCACTAGTATACTTCACAAACATGTCTTCAAGTGCCTGCGTGTGTCACTAAATGTTTGATGTTGGAAGTTTAATTTAGGTCTAAAAGGGTTTTTCATTGAAACCTTACATTTAATGCAAGTAGTGATATTTTTATTCTACTGTATGGGATTATGATATGTTACGGGATATGTCATATGTCAGAAAGTTATTATATTTATCAGTGTACATCATAATAATAATAAAAAAAAAAAAAAAGTAGTACGAATACCAGTGAAAATTCATGATAAAACTTTGGTATCAGAGGTAAAAAGCCATTGAACATTCATTTTACCCAAGTAACTACTTTTATATATTTAATTTTAAATATCTAGCTGATGTCATCTATACATGCTAAGGCCATTTTTGACCGAGGAAAGCCTTGCTTCAATGATTCATGCTGATCTCTCGTTTTATCTCTAACTCTTAGATGTGATTTCTTTGATCGACAGTGAACCACATGCACGGTTTTATGCTGCACAGATTGTCCTGACCTTCGAGTACCTCCACTCACTAGACCTCATCTACAGAGACCTGAAACCTGAAAACCTACTTATTGACCAGCATGGATATATACAGGTAACTAGAAGAATTAGGAGAACAAAAATACAGTTTCTGAACCCATTGATTACACATAAAATGTGGTCTGTTCTTAATTGAACTCACAATTATAAACAAACACAATCTGAAATATAGCTGCAAGCAGTGATGACAGGCCCAAGCCACCAGTGCCAACGCCACACTGATGGCATCAGGAAAACGGCCCACAGCGTTTACAGTAACCCTCTGGCAGTCTGGTTTTAAGCATTACAGCAAAGAAAGGGTTACACTATAACATCAAGTGTGTGAAACACACAGAACAACATATAAAACTTTGGTAACACTTTACAAAAGGTTTCATTTGTTAGCATTAACTGTTAGTTAACACAAACAATAATTATGTAACATTTATTAATGTTAGTATTTAAAGTTGTATATGTTAACATTAGTTAATGCACTGTGAAGTAACATGAACATTTTTATTAACTTACAGTAACAAAGATTAGAGCCCGACCGATATATCGTTTTGCCGATATGAGCCTGTCACAGATATATCGGTATTGGCGTATATGCCTCCGATATGCCACCGAACATAACTGCATTTACTGAACATAAAATGCAGATAAAATGCTTGTAAATGGGGTAATTACGTAGTTCGCTCCATTGTTTGCTTCTGGCGATCTGGATGACACGATTTAAAGCTTAAGTGTATGGAAAACCATTGAAAATTTGAACGGCCATATCTCTGTAACTGCGTGGCGTATCTGCACCAAATTCGGGGGATCCCTTCAGCTCGAGGAGCCCTCTCGGACGCTGAATTGAGTGTATGTCTCGAGGCCCCCTTTCGAGACAGACCACCCGATATGTTTGAATAAATCTGGAAGACTATATGCAATTGAGTTGTAAACAGACATTTACATTTTTATTTGAGTGTAATTATGATATCTGAAAATAAATAGCAGTTGAATATAATAACTCTGCTGTTAATTTTAACCTTTAATATTATAGTAATGTGCCAAATGATAAGGTTCCCTGTGTAGTTTACAGCATCATTTTTTTTTTTCCTTAAAGGGGAAAGCAGATGCCCATTTTCCACAAGTTGGTATGATTCTTTAGGGTCTTCATAAACTGTCTGCAACATACTTTGGTTAAAATTCCTCAGTGGTCGTGTAAAACACCCTGTTTACTTTGTCAAAAACAGCTCTGTTCACAGCGAGCCGTTTCGGTGCATGTCTCTTTAAATGATAATGAGCTCTGCTCACTTTGCCCCTCTCTTCCGTGGAAGAGGAAAGGCAATTTGCAAATAATCATAAGAAATATAAAGTGTGGGACTTACTTCTTCTGGAGGTGCAGCTGGATTGCGAACAGTGGGAACTGATCCATCCTTGAGTTTGAACTTTTTAGCAAAACCTGCCTTGAATTGTCCCTCATTCAGAAAACAGTCTAATGATAATGGAGTAAAATGATTCACGCAAACAAACGCATTTAGGTAGATCGGGGGTCACATTCCCTTCAAAAAACAAAAGTAATCCACTGCGTCTTCAGCGGCTCAGATGTCGGGAGTAAATGACGACTGCTGTGTTCATTCTTACATCCAACAACAAAACACCTCAATCGCTTAGGAGCCGTTCTTGTCTACATCTGCAGCGGCATCGAAACGAGTAGATCAAATAGAGAGTGCTAGTGTTAGAGGGTCAAATAAAGATGGAAGAGATGTGTCTTTAGCTGTTTCTTGAACATGGCTAAGGACTCAGCTGCTCGGATTGAGTTGGGCAGGTCATTCCACCAGCAGGGAACAGTGAAGGTAAAAGTCTGTGAAAGTGACTTTGTGCCTCTTTGGGATGCACTATAATGCGATGTTCACTTGCAGAACGCAAGCTTCTGGATGCACATAAGTCTGAAGTAATGAAGTTAGGTAAAGGGGTGCAGAGCCAGTGGTGGTTTTGAATGTTATGCGAGCAGCTATTGGTAGCCAGTGCAAATTGATGAACAGAGGTGTGACATCCGTTCTTTTCGGCTCGTTAAAGACTAATCTTGAAGCCGCATTCTGGATTAGTTGTAGAGGTTTGATAGAACTGGCTGGAAGACCTGCCAAGAGAGTGTTGCATTTAATTAGAACCTTTAATGTTATTTTGTTAGAACAGATGATACAGGACACTTAAATGTACTGAACTATTGTTTCCCGCACAGGTAACAGACTTTGGTTTTGCAAAAAGAGTAAAAGGCAGAACCTGGACATTATGTGGAACTCCAGAGTACTTGGCACCAGAGATCATCCTCAGCAAGGTAAGCCTTGAGTATTTAAAATTCCAAAATTGAATCCAAATTTCCAAGCAAGGCAAATCACTTATTTTTTTCTGAAATTTAGGGATACAACAAGGCTGTGGACTGGTGGGCCCTTGGTGTTCTCATATATGAAATGGCAGCTGGATATCCCCCGTTTTTTGCAGACCAGCCTATTCAGATCTATGAGAAGATTGTGTCTGGAAAGGTACTGGCAAGTTGCATTGTCTTTAGTATATGTCAAGCGGCCAAGCAATTCGATTTATTTGAATATGCAATGAATGCACAATCAAAATGGCAATGTGAACGTGTTTTCTAGGTACGATTCCCCTCGCACTTCAGTTCCGATCTGAAAGATCTTTTGAGGAATCTGCTGCAGGTGGACCTGACCAAGCGCTACGGCAACCTAAGGAATGGTGTCAATGATATTAAAAACCACAAATGGTTTGCCACAACGGATTGGATAGCCATCTATGAGAGAAAGGTATGATACTCTTAGGTATGATAGGTCTTCAGTTATGTAATTTGCGCCTTAGTTTACCTGAAAGGCAGGATTTCCTTTACTACACCCACCATATTGAGTGTTGCAAGTGTTTTTTTTTTCTGCTCCTCCCACCATTTATTTGTCCACTACATGAGGTCTTAAAGTGACAGCGGCCTAATATACCTGCTGCTGTCTGTCATTAATGTTAATGAAACAACAAAACTTCAAAAATCTAATAGTTATGTTAAGCTAGTAGTTTTTGCTGTGGTATCGAAATTGGAATTGTAGTGACTTATTTATTAGAACACAATGTCACATAGGTTGAAACAATGAAAACAGTAACTTTTTTTAAATCTTTTTTTAATTTTCATTTATTTTTTTGTATTTTTCATTTTTATATTTTTCATTTTGTCAGGACAAGTAAAAAGACATGCCCAAATTGTAGTCCTTGACATCCCAAAAATACTGCTTAAAGTACTTGAAAATCCTGGAATGTTTTTACGAACCCTTGGCTGGGCGATATGGCAAAAAAAAATGTATATATAT